CAGAAAGTCCAAGGTGTGCATGGATACCTCCTGTCAAAGGGCAAGTCTTCACAGATGCCATATCCTGTCTCAATCTGTCGCTCTGCTCTTGTGAGCGAGTGTCCCCTCCCCTCCCTGGCAGAACAGTCCCCAGAAGGAGGCCAAGCCTATCTCAGGAGGATAGCTGTGGGAGGATGTGGTTTCTACCGAACTTTGCTCACTGGTAACCTTTCAGGACCTAAGCCACACCTGCAGCCACTATGTCTCCAGCTCCTCTGCCTGCTTCTCCCCAGAGAGGCCACAGAGGTTTGTAGAGGTATGTGGCCTCCGTGCAGTGGCCTGGCACATGACAAAAGCAGAGAGCAAATCAACCTGGAGCCAGCCAGCAATGGAGATGAAGGCAGCAACAGACGCCAGATTCACAAGAAATAGTCCCTCCCCTCCTCTGGCTTTCAGATATGCAAAGCCCATTTGTAGATCCACTTAATTTTTAAGCCACACAGACTTCAGTGAAACTTTAGAAGTATTCATTGTTGCCCACTGCCAATGCTACTCTAAAAATTCTCTGAGCCAATCTTTTCTCTTCTTCAACTTTCTTAAGCTACAACTGCCAAAGTACTCAATTACTAAAATAATTAAGATACCAGGACTTACTCATCTAAAACACATCTACACAGAGCAAAATTTTAAAATAATTTCTTTCTCCCTCAGATAGGCAGGTGCATATTCAGAGTACTCATCACAATAAGAAAAAGTAAAACCTGAAAACTGATGCTTCTCTTAGTCCTTTAGATAGCACTTCTCATTCTGGGCCACAAAAGGTTGCAATTCCTGGTCTTTGAACATCTGGAAGCATTTCCATTGTAGAACAACCTGCTATGGATTTTCTCTTGTCTTATATTTGGAAATGTGCTTTGTTCTCCAGAATCTTCCCTGAAAAGACTTGGCTTGTGACAAAAGCCCAAAGAATAGTATGTGACCTTGGCAGCAGACTGAGAGGAAGTGTGGTCATTTGAGGTGGGCGAGTGTGTGGAGGAAGGAAAAACACTAGCCTCCTAAGGCCTGGCCCTGGCTTCCCTGACATTCATTGAACCCCTTTAGCCTCATTTCTCCTCTTTTAAATGCAAGATATGAATTCAATGGTCTTCAGGTTATTTCCAGGATTGTGGTTACCTGCTTAGGCTATTGACAAATTCTTCAGGAATTTCTACTACTTGCCAACACTAATGAGGCAATCTCGCTCATAACCATAAAACCAAGTGTGGTGGTTTGGGGTTGCACGCTCATCATGAGTCATCATTGGCATCTGGAAATGCAGTGGTCCAAAAGTGTAGCTATCCTGTGGTAGGGGCCTACAACAATTAAAAAGTTAAAAGCATGACTACATACAAACACAAACCTAACGCAAGTTCATGGATGGTTTTCATTCATCTTAACAGCTAATGAGGTCTCCAGAAAGATGACTCTTTCAAATAGCATTCTACGGGGTGGGTATTTATTGGCAACTTAATAAATATTAGAGTGAAATGGTTAGATTACATACAACATTGGCTAGTGCCCTTAAGGCAGTAAACCATAACCTCTGAAATTATCTTTTCCACCAGAGGGGATTCTACAATTAATAATGTCTAGATTCTAATCTAGTAGTAATATTTAAATAATTAAATAATTCTTCAATGAGCCTATTAAGCAAAGACATTCAAGTGTGTCCTGTGCCCTGCTGTTTGGGTGATCGTCTGAAGACCTCTGTACTGGACACCCTTGAATCAATAATGAATGTCTGAAGTTTCTAAGTATACCTGAGACCTATTTACTTCTTTCCCTTTTCTCTCTTGGGCAGATCATAACTTCTCAGTGTTATTCTAGGGGAAACCGCTCACACTTTACACATAACTCAAAGGAAACTTTTTTTTGGTTAAAGCTTCATTGTCACATGAGCATAATTTAAGTAATCTATTGTTAAATCTACTTCCTGTTATAGCATTTCTATTTACTTTCTATGTTGTGAGTGAAGGGCAGGATAGGGACATGGTAACAAAGATTTATATCCATGTAAATTAGAAGTAACCTATGAATAAACTAAGGGTCTGCACTCAGTCTATCACACGCATCCAGAAGAACTCTTAGCAAGTACTATTGTTTCTATAATTCTCTGTTTACTGGCCATTTAGTAAGGAGACCACCTCAAATAAAGACTTTAGTAATAGTGTTTGACTCAGAGTCATATCTGAATTTTCATAGTGCCTCTGTGGCAAAAATTTAAAATGTAGACTTAGACAAGGAAAGCCACAGTGATCTGATTTTTAACATGGTCACTCATGACTTATGCTAGCAAGTTGGGTCAGTGATTTTTAGCTTGTGGGTAGAGATCAAGATCTTGATAAAAACTATAGATCCATTCACCAGTAACAGACCATAAGCCCATAACACATATATCATTTTGTATTTAATTTGATTAGAATGATTCAAATCATCATGCTTCAGTCCCATGCATGGATTCTACTCAAGAACTCACAATTTAGGAAATAAAAGTCGCCACATAAAAGACAGGCTGTGGGCGAGACACCTGAACCTCATATCCTGTCTCCCAAACCTCTCCCATCATCTGCCCTTATAAGTCATTACATTTTAGTTGCAGGCACTAGTAGGTTGCTGTCTTTGGAACTGGAGAGAAATGCCTATCAAAATGGAAAACCCAGTTATCCAAGAATACTACTACAATCTTATTATAGTGAAAGTCCTAAAATCACCAACAGTCCAATGACAGAGTAAAAAGTCATGAGCTCCAGCCATGCACCTTATCAGTCAAGTGACCTTAGAGAAGGTAATCAGCCTCCCCAAGGTTCAAGTTTCCAGCCTGCACAATAAGGATAATTAAGGAGTCAGGCTGGAAGTATTGATCACCAGAGCCATACCCTCACCTAGTCAACTAAGTAGAATCAGGAGTCTTACAGTGAGAATACTAGGGAGCTAGTAAAACTAGCACAAAGTTATGTAGAATTTGTTCTATGAGTATGAGTGAGTAAAAGTTTTACAGAGTGCTTTTGGTTTTTTAACTGTACTCCAAGCCTTGGGTCATAATGTTAGATTAAGAATACAACTAGAGGGCCTCCCAGGTGGCGCAGCGGTAGAGCGCTGGGTTGCAAAGCTGCCCGCGGCCTCTGTGGCACCGGTTCGATCCCTGGCTGCTCCCCGGCCACCGGAGGAGGGTCCCACATGGCGCGCAGACCTCTCCTGCCGCCCGCTGCTCCCCTCAGCAGTGTGCTTCGGTCCTTCTGCCTGCTCTGCTCCCTACTCTGGCTCTGGTGAATTCTTTCACCCTCCGCGCTTCTGACTGTACCCAGTGCATGTATAAACAAAACACAAACAAATAAATAAATAAATAAACATGCCTCTATTAAAAAAAAAAAAATCTTAAAAAAAAAAAAAAAAAAGAATACAACTAGATAAGGTAAAACCTGGAAACAACCCAAATGCCCAAAAAGAGATGACTGGATCAAGAAGATGTGGTCCATATACACCATGGAATATTACTCAGCAATCAAAAAAGATAAACTCATGCCATTCACAGCAATGTGGATGGAGCTAGAAGAAATTATGCTCATGAAATAAGCCAGAAGGAAAAAGATAAATATCAGATGGTTTCATTTATAGCAGGAATGTAGGGAAACCAAATAAGACATCAATGAGAAATAATAATAACAATACAAAACACAATAAAGCAAAAACAGACCATTATAAGTCAGAGACATACCGCCGGGGAGGAGGAGGGAGAGGGATCAGAGTGAGGGAAGGAGGAGCACAGGGGACTGAGGTGATGGTGCACAGGTGCATTGGTGAAGGAAACTCTATGGGGACAACACCTGAGGGGGTGGGGGGAAGCGAATATTGTTTAAAAATGAACTATGATGTAAAAAATTTAAAATAAAAAAAAGAATGTAACTAGATCTAAATATACATACACACCATGGAATATTATTCAGTCATAAAAAAGGAAAATGTGCCATTTATGTCAATACATATTTTTTAAAGATTTATTTTTTACTTATACAAGAGCTGGGATACAGGTCAGATGCACGGGAGGGTGAGATGATTCACCAGAGACAGAGCAGGGAACAGAACAGGCAGACTGACGAAATAAACTGCTGAGGGGAGCAGCGGGTGAGACAGGAGAGGCCTGCTTGCCATTATGTCAGTATATTGATAGGTAATTTTAAGAGCATTATGTTATGTGAAGTAAGTCAAAGAAAGAGAAATACTTATATTCAGAACCTTAAAACAAAATCACAACAAAAACAATAACTTCATAGATATACAGAACAGGTTGGGGACTGTCAGAGGAGGCAGGAAAAAAATGGGTGGAGGGGGTCAAAAGGTACAAACTTCCATTTAGAAAATAAGTTAGTTCTGGGGATATAATATACAACTTGATGAGTAGAGGTAATAATATTCTATTGTGTGCTTCAGTGACTAAAAGAGTAAATCTTAAATGTCATCAATCCTACTGATTGCCTCACAATATAACATTATTTCCCCTTTTAATCATTGAGAAATTGGATTCATAGACATGTGGGACTCACCCCAGATCCTACTGTTATGTTCACTATATAAGCTGATTTTCTAGTTCCCACTGTGTGGCATCTGGAAAATGCAGTTAACAGTGGATTGTAATGTCCATTGAATGAGAAGATGCATGCAAATCAGCTGATTCATGGTGAGGGCTCAGTTCTTGTCACGATTAGACTCTGAAAATCCCGAAACTTGTCTATCTCTTACTCTATGACTGTACAAATATGCAAGTAAGTGAAGATGAGATTCCAGCGCTTAAAGTGCTCTTATGGCACGGACCAATGAGTGAGTACAAAGTGACAGTGGAGATTCTGGAGACCCTGGAGGGATGGCACCCACAAATACATACACAATGGCATACACAAGTAACATGTCCATGTTGCAACTCACTGTACCCTTGTATAGGTTTTTAAATATGACCTTTGTGAAATGTGACTTTCCCATGTGGGCAGATGTGAAAGTGTGGAGCTGGACAATAAAATCCGTGATCTGATCGGGAAAAATGGCTCTCCTTGCACAACAGCAGTCACCCCAGGGACCCTGCTAGGCAACAAAAACTCATGTCCTCTGAAGGTAAGAAAACACCTTTTATCTACTTTTTCTCAATACATCCTTCAACAGTTTGTAAACCAAGAAAAATGCATGGGGACAGTCCCCTAGTCACTTATAGTAATGTGCTTCCTTGATGGCTGAGAAGATAATGCAAACCAGTATACAACTTCTTTTACACAATCACTTCCTGTTACTAAAGAAACCCTTCAGCAGACAGCTCTTTCCAGTTTAAAGTGTGGTATATCCGGCACCCGTGACTACAGGAAATCGAAGAGATCATGCTACCAGAATGTCTATTATAGTGACAACAACCCTTTGGGGGTGCAACCAAACTTATGTAAATCCGGTGCTCCCTGGTGGCGCAAGGGGATAAGATGCAGCCTATGATGCTATCTGCAGCCACTGCAGCACAAGTTTGATCCCCTCCAGGGTGAACCCACAGGGCCCAGCAGACCTCTCCTGACTTGCCTGCTGCTCCCCTCAGCAGTGTATTTCAGTCAGTCTGCCCATTCTGCTCCCTACTCTGTCTCTGGTGAATCCTCTCACTCTCCACACCTCTGGCCTGCACCCAGTTCTTGTATGCATAAACAAATAAATCTTTAAAAAACACCCAAATTTATGTTAATCCACTTAAACTGGATTACTAAAATCAGCACAACTAAAGTCATCTTTTTAGAGGAAAAAAACAAGGCTTTCCTGATTAGAGTTGTTTGCCTTTGAATTTCCTCTTCTTTCAGAATATTTGTCTATGATGCTTCATCCAAGCAAATGAAATTCAAGGGTAAGCTCCAGCTAGGAATTTTATGGATGACTTTCAAAAATTGTATCATAAATGACAGCAGAAACTCTTATGCATTTCTGTCCCTCCAATTAGAAGCCATGTCTAACAATCACTTCCCCTCACCCCGAAGCAAAGTAAGTAGATTTGAAAGCAGGGCTGACATCAAAAACAATTACAGAACTTTTGCTTTGACTTTGGTTTTTAATTCTTAAGTAAAACCTGCTCCCTGTTTGAGAATTACACTAAGCACAGAGAAAACCATAAAAATCACGTCGACACAGATTTACTATGGAGCTGACGAAGTTTGGATTCCCCTAAACAAATATTTCCTTTTGTACCTAATTTGCATTCATATGTTGGTATCTTTTTCTCTTAAAGGAGGCTTTGGGATTACATAAACATCAGGCCTCATGATACCTAAATCTGCCTTGGAAATCTCAAAGCCCAAGACTCCTGCAGTGTTTCAGCCTCTGTAGTCTTGGTGTTCCTCTGTCCCATGCACAGCACCCTGCTTGTGAACCCACCTTTTCTGCTGTTATAGGATACTCCTGGGCCTTTTTCTTGTGTTCATTTAATAAAGTGTATTATGCATGTTCTGTACCTATGCACTTTTTCCTATATACAAACTCATTCCCCATCCACCCCTCCCCCAAAAAAAAAAACCAGTTTATTTCTTCGAAGTAGAAATGACTATTTATTAATGCTTGGGGGTTAGAAAGGAAGGCCTCTCTTGCCTTCCTTTCTTCTCATCCTCATGCCCAACCTCCTACACAGAGCTCTAACTTCCAATAAGAACCTCTTCCTTCAAGGAAATGGGTATTTTTCTCTAATGGGGCCTTCTTGTCTTTAATGGTGAGAATTTTAATTCCCTCCATTGCCCTGATCCTCATATTCTCTGTACATCAGCCCCCAAAATGCCTCCCCTCACTTCCTGTTCATTCTGTCTTCTGGGTTTCTCCTTACAAGGTAAAAACCTCCACATTTTCATTGTCATTTGCTCATTTTCTTATACTCCACATAACCAGGCAAAGGATAACATGTTCCTGGCTAATTTTTTTTTTTTTTATTTTTCTTGTGACATCTGAGATGAAGATATGAAGTGAGTTCTAGGGTTTAAGAAAATTGGGGAAGATGTGAGATGGCCCCTGGAAGAGAGAGGAGGAAACAAAAGGAGTCACTGAGTAGCAGTGAAGACCACGTGCAGCCTGAAAGCCACTCCTTAAGAGCAATCACTAAACAGTGTCTGGGTTCCAGTATCTTCAAGACCTCCATCACCGCTCACCCGAGTAAAGCATGCTCCATTCCCCTCCACTTTTTTTTATTATAAATTTTATTTTTATATTCCCCATACAATTGTGACCCCCTTATTTTGACCCCAATCCCTCCCCTCCCCGCCCCCCACCTCCCATAGAGTGTCTCTGGTTCATAGTTGTTTGTTGATTTTGATTTTTACTTTCTTATAGTTATTCTTTTTCCTGGTCCCTTATTTAAGTTTTCTAGATTCCTGCTATGAGTGAGACCATCCGGTATTTTTCTTTTTCTTTTTGGCTTATTTCGCTGAGCATGATCCCTTCCAGCTCCATCCATGTTGCTGCAAATTGCATGTGTTTATCTTTTTTGATTGCTGAGTAATATTCCATGGTGTATATGTACCACATCTTCTTGATCCAGTCATCTGTTTTTGAGGAGGCCTCATGTTCTCTTATGTGAAGTGTTCTAATTCACTTTTACATGTCATTAGCCAAGCCTGCTGCTCACAGTGTTCTAGACGTTCCCAACCCTTACCCCAGCACTCAGCACCTCTCTCCTGATAACTGCAATGGTCATTTCATACCCATGTTTGCAAAATGTCCTCGCATCTGCATTTTGACATTTTCACTAATTCATATGCCTTACTCCACTGACATCTGTAATTGTAACCCCCCCCCCCACATACACACCTTTTTTACCTCTGTTCATCCCTTCTCACTCACCTTCCCTAGTTTGTCTTACATCCCCTGCCTGTTTTATCAATGTTACCCAGGAATCTGGCTTTAGCCCTTGCCACATTAAACAAGATACAGGCGGGCCTCCCCTGGTGGTGCAGCGTTTGAGCACTGGGCTGCAAAGCTGCCCGCAGCCTCTGCAGCGGCAGTTTGATCCCCAGCCACCAGCAAGGGTCCCACATGGCGCGACAGACCTCTCCTGCTGCCCGCTGCTCCCCTCAGCAGTGTATGTTGTCAATTTGCCTGTTCTGCTCCCCGCTCTGGCCCTGGTGAATTCTCTCACCCTCCCGCGCTTCTGACTGTACCCAGTGCTTGTATAAATAAATAAAGAAATCTTAAAAACAACAACAACAAGATACAGGCCCATGACTCCAGACACATTACAAAGCATGGGGTTCTTTTCTACGTGCATGTCAACTTCACTCAACACAGCCAACAGTGAGCTCACTGTCTTTTCTGCAAGAAATACTTGGTTCCTACCCCAGCCCTCTACCTCTCCTGCAGTTAGGACATACCCGGATTCCTCTCCCAGTGAGGACATAACAAGGATTCCTCCAGGACCACTAAGATATACAATCCCAAGGGGCACCATTCATGGAATGTTGGCACCTTTCCTTCACCTGGGTTCTCAGGGGCTTACTTATTCTGTCATCTCACTGCCTTCAGACTTTGTTCTTTTCCTTCATTTTTTTTAAAGATTTATTTATTTATGCATACAAGAGCTCTGGTACAGGCCAGAGATGTGGGGGTGAGAGGATTCACCAGAGACAGAGTGGGAAGCAGAACAGGCAGACTGACAAAATACACTGCTGAGGAGCAGTGGGCAAGACAGCAGAGGTCTGCTGCGCCATGTGGGTAGCTCCTTGGCCAGCCGGGCATCGAACTCGTGCTGCAGAGGCTGCAGATTTCTTCATAGTGCAGTGCTTAACCCCTGTGCCACCTGGGAGGCCCACCTTTCCTTCATTCTTACTAGTCTTTCTTAGCTCCGATATTCATTATCTCATTATTCATTCCCAATGGTCTAACTGGCTGCCCTTCCTTAGTTTCCTCTGCATGAATTCACATTTACCAACACAGATCTTGTTGATGCACAAGTGTCCAAAACCTAAAATAAAGCTTCCTTTACCTGTATCATAAAAGCCAAATGCTTTGCTTGCTCTATAAAGCCCTCCATATTTCAGCCCCTAACTTCATTTAAAGCAAAACATTAGAAAGAGGAGTTAATGTTTGTTGGGCACCTGTCATAACAGGTAAGGAGGTAAATATTTTATATTGTTTGCTATCTACAGCAACACTTCAAACATAACCATTTTTATTCACAATTCCCAGATGAGGAAACTAAAGTTCATAGAAATATTTTTTTTTATGCTTCCTAAAATCACCAAGTTGTAAAAATCTAGACTCGGGATTGGATGTCAGACTTGTACATATTTTTCTTAGTGTCATGCTATCTTCTACATTTTCTGGAACTCCCTAAAATGTTCCTTGTATTTAACCCACCCCATAATCACTTAACAGACCACACAGTTTCATGTTCTGTGCCTTTTCACATTTCCTTTATGGAAATCCTTGCTTCCTTCCCCATTGGATGAACTGTCTTTAATGTCAACTCAAACCTTACATGGTTTGAGTTTAATTACTCAACTACCTTCTGCAGTCCCACAGAGTCCCTCTGTGCTCTGTCCTAAATCTTTACCTTCTTTATACTTCATCGGCTTTGCCACCTTGATTTTATAATTTTCTGTATATAAATGTATTTTCACCATTAGTCATAGACTTTTGAGGATGGGGTAGAAAATGTTATGTGAAGCTAGAAAGCATAAGCATGTAGATTTTTCCAGAAGGTACCAGTGTTAAGCAATGTGTTTGACTTTCTAAGCCATGGTAATGCTAAACTTATAGTCAACTTGTCTCTAGAATCCCTCCACATATCATTTTGAAAGTCTCCAGAAGACCATCGAATTCACACGCCCAAACCCAGTCTCTCATCTCTTGTGGGGAAGCCACCACTTGGTCTTGCTCATCCTGGCTTAGGTGCTCTCCTGCCACTACTGCTTCTAGACATCAGCCACACCATTCTCGGTACCAGAATGGCCCCACTCGCTGTGCGAAGTATGCCCCAAATGTGATATGCCCTCCAAAGCCCCACATGCAGCTAACACTGTTACATTCTCCACTTCACTGGAAGGAACTTTCCTTTCCCAACTGCAAGTGCACAGATCCCCCCTGTGCCACATCATATATCCAGTGTCTGG